CCCATCCCTTACCATGGCGCAGATCCCCTCTCTACTCGCACAGTCGGATGTCGAGCAGGGCAATGATCCCGAAAGGGTACGCGATGCATTGTAGAGCACGGCATGGCATGGCGTAGCAGAGCACCGCAAAGCGTAGTATCAACCTAGCATTGCATTGCATGCCGTGGCATGGCACGGGAAATGACACCAGCGCTGCAGCGGGAGCACGAATCGGAACGAGCGGAAGCGCGGAAATGAGGCCAGCGCTGCAGCGGGAGCACGATTCGGAACGAGCGGAAGCACGGAAATGAGGCCAGCGCTGCAGCGGGAGCACGATTCGGAACGAGCGGGGCCCGAAAATGAGGCCGGCGCCTCAGCGAGAGCAGCATTTTTGAAACAAATGCAGGCTAAAACCCAACTCCTGGGAATCCAGTGTGTAAAAAAACAGTACGCGGGGGGCGGGGGGGCTAATACTTTCAAACCGTCATCAGGCGAAGAGGGAGAGTAGTATTCATATTGAGTAATGAGAGAGGGAGGGGGAGGGGGAGGGGGAGGGGGAGGCGGAAGATGAGGAGGAGGAGGAGAAGGAGGAGGAGGAGGAAGAGGAGGAGGAGGAGGAGGAGGGGGACAGGGAGGGGGGAGGGGGGGAGATGCGGATGATGATGATGCTGCTGCTGATGATGTGATGATGATGATGATGCTGATGCTGATGCTGCTGCTGCTGATGATGCTGATGATGATGAGGATGATGATGCCGATGATGATGATGATGATGAGGAGGAGGAGGCGAAGGAGACGGAGGAGGAGGAGGAGGAACATGATGATGCTGATGATGCTGATGATGATGATGATGCTGATGAGGCTGATGATGATAATGATGATGATGATGATGATGCTGATGATGATGCTGATGATGATGCAAATGATGATGATGCTGATGATGATGATGATGATGGTGCTGGTGATGATGATGATAACTGATGACTATGATCATGATGATGACGATGATGATGACGGTGATGATGATGATGATGATGATGATGATGATGATGATGATGATGATGATGATGATGATGATGATGATGATGATGATGATGATGAGGTGGAGGATGATGAGGAGGAGGAGGAGGAGGAGGACGAAAACGCGTACGGCAAGAATGGGTACAATGCCCAACAACAGTTCGTGCCCATTTTGAACAGGGCTCGCTGTTTGCGCCGCCGCGGCTTGTGTCCATTCAGCGCCGCTGATGGTTTGGGTCAGCATTCGTTGTTGGGCATTGCACCCATTTTTTCCGTACCCATTTCGGGCGTCCAAAAGAAGGGCACGGGGGTCCCTGGCAGACCGTGCTGGGGCCCGCGGCGCCAGGCCGCTGTTTTTTTGGGAGCGCTTTCATTGGCTCTTGGAGGCCCCTGCCTCGAGGTGCGTTCCAGCAGTGTTTTTCTGCACCCAGTTCGGGCGTCGAAGCCCGGGGTGCGCTCTGACCAGGGTTACCGAGGCGAACCCGGCGGCGGCGACGCGAGGGCCTCCCAGGGAGCCCAGCGAGGGGAGAGAACGGGCGAAGGGCCAAGGGTAGCGGTATGGGCACCTTCCTCCTCCTCCTCCTCCTCCTCCTCCTCGTCTGAGCCCCCCTCCCTCGCGCTCCTGTTACGTCGGGCCCGTCCCCCTACAGGGGGAAGACTCAAAAATAGTAAAAACAAAAAATAGCCTGGGGACGATGTTTCGATGATGTTTTGATTATTTTGTTTGGCATTTCTTTGTGGTATGTTTTGAAGTCTTCGCCCAGAGCCGCCTGCAGGAGGACACGCCCGACCTAACGCTCCTGCCGCCCTCTCGTCGTCGTCGTCGTCGTCGTCGTCGTCGTCGTCGTCGTCGTCGTCGTCGTCGTCGTCGTCGTCGTCGTCGTCGTCTCCTCCCTCCCTCCCTCCTCCCTCCTCCCTCCTCCCTCCTCCCTCCTCCCTCCTCCCTCCTCCCTCCTTCCTCCTCCCCCTCCCCCCTCCCTCCTCCCTCCTCCCTCCTCCCTCCTCCCTCCGCCCTCCATCCCCCCCCCACGCCCCCGCGGCGCGCCGCCAGCAGCTCCGGCGGCGGCCCGGCGGCGGGCCTGGCGCCCTCGGGACACCGCCGCACGGCCTCGGCCACCGCCCTCGGGGACCTGGCGCTGGAGGCCGCCCCGCGCGCCAAGGGTTCCGAAGGGCCCCGGACGCGCGCGCTGGGGCTCCAGAGACGGGGGTGAATGCAAGCGGTCAAGCAGTGGCGAAGCGTCCTGGCTCGCCTATGGGCCCACCAAACTATGTGCTAAGAACCTTCTGTGGTTTCCACGAAATGTTCCTAGAACATTTCTGGCTGGGACGGTCTTGTTTTAATACATCGGGTTCATGTTCTAAGAACATTGTTGATGTGATTCGAACATGTTTGGGTTCTCAGAACATTTCGTGGTAGGCATATGGGAATGCCGGGACGGTCGGTCCCTGCTCAAAACGGGGGTCAGCCACAGCGCCGGGTCTTGCAGGATTTTGCAGCTCCAGGGTCGCACTGACCCTTTGGGTGCAGGCTCCCGCAGGATTTGCAGGATCCTGCGCGTTGGCCCGGGTTTGGGTGCAGGCTCTCTTGCAGGATTTTTGCAGGATTCTGCAGGGCCTGGCTGGCCCCAGTCTGGATTGACCTGGGCCAGAAGATCCCCGAACGTGCTCGCGGAGTGCATCGGAGGAGGCGAGTGGTCGTTTCCGTATTCCTTGTTTTGCCGATCGGCACGGGCCCTCGCCCCCCCCCCCCCCCTCTCCCCCCCCTTAAGGGGTAGATTTTGGTGGCTGTTTTTGGCGTCTGTTTCCAGCGGGTGGGTTCTCCCCCATAATTAGGACAGGACGCACTGTTGCGAACAGTCGCGCTAAGCAGAGGTCGGAGCCAGACCCCCCCCATCCCCCCGTTCCGCCCAATGTCGAAACGCCGAATACGAAAACGTTCACCAAGGGTACCCATACTGGGACCCTTTCTCGGTTTCCCCTCTGTGGGCCTCCTGGGAGGCCCTCGTTGCCACGGCTTGATTCGCCTTGAAATTCTGGTCAGCTCGCACCCATGGAAGGTCCGGGGAGGTCCAGAAATTCTGGTCAGCTCGCACCGCTGGAGAGGTCGGTCCCTGTGGAAAGAAAGATCACGACGGAGGGTTTTTGGTTGTCTTCTGTCGTTGGGGGCCCTCGTTGGGCCTCGGGACCGTCAAAACCAGCCCTGCAGGGACAGGGCTGGGACTTCCGGGGACCGCGCACTGAAGCAATCAAGGCATTGCATGTCTGAGGATGGAGCACAATATTGAGGAGGACGAATCCCCTGGCGCGTAAGCGGTCGTAACCCCCACGTGGGAGGTGGTTGGACCTCCCCCACATACTATAGCGATCGCAGCGCACCCCCGCAACGGCGAGAGCACAATCTCAAAATAGAGTGTTGACGCTTCGCGTATCCCCACCAGCCCATTCAGACACGAGCGGAGGCTTTCGTGAGGTCTCTTGGAGGCTTTCTTGAGCCACGCTCGGCAAGGGGCTGTCGGAGGCTATCTTGAGCCGTGCTCAGCTTTTTTTGGGCCATCTTGAGGCTGTCTTGAGGCCTCTCGGAGGTCAGTCGGATGCTATCTTGAGCCATACTTGACCTCCAGGGGCCATCCTGGGGGTAGGAGGAGGAAAAGAAGGTGGAGGAGGGGGAGGAGGAGGAGGAGGAGGAGGAGGAGGAGGAGGAGGAGGAGGAGGAGGAGGAGGAGGAGGAGGAGGAGGAGGAGGAGGAGGAGGAGGAGATGAGGATGAGAGGAGGAGGAGGAGGGGATAATGAGAGACGGAGGAGGAGGCGGAGGAGGAGGAGGAGGAGGAGGAAGAGGATGGGCAGGAGGAGGAGAGGAGAGGAGGAGGAGAGGAGGAGGAGAGGAGGAGAGGAGGAGGAGGGGGACGAGAGGGAGTACGCACGAGGAGGAGGAGGAGGAGGAGGAGGAGGAGGAGGAGGAGGAGGAGGAGGAGGAAAGAGGGAGGAGGAGGAGGAGGAGGAGGAGGAGGAGGAGAGAGGAGGAGGAGAAGGAGAGGAGAGGAGAGGAGGAGGAGAAGGAGGAGGCGGAAGAGAGGAGGAGGAGGCGGAGCAGGAGGAGGAGGAGGAGGAAAAGGTGGAGGGGGAGCAGGATGAGGAGGAGGAGAAGAAGGAGGAGGGGGAGAACGAGGATGATGATGATGATGAGCAGGAGGAGGAGGAGGGGGAGAAGGAGGTGGAGGAAGAGGAGGAAGAGGAGGGGAGGAGGATGAGGAGGATGATGAGGAGGCGGAGGAGGAGGAGGAGGAGGAAGAGGCGGAGGAGGAGGATGAGGAGGAGTAGGAGGAGGAGGAGGAGGAGGAGGAGGAGAAGGGGGATGAGGAGGAGGCATCAGGAGGGTTTTCGAGGACAGTGTGCGGTAGGCTACGTAATTACCCCTCCTCATCGCTGCAGTCTGCCTGTGGCCAGAACCCCCCCCCCCTCCCCTCGCGGCAGGCGACCGTCAGCAGCATCTCGCGGCAGGCGTCCCACGCCAGCGAGCAGGCCGTGACTCTCAGGCCCGCGTTTCTCAGACGGGCCATTTTGCAGTATGAGTTCGGAGTGTGTTCCCTGTGGATATCTGCATGGAACAGAACACATAACCATACCCTATCACACACATACCATGACACATAGCAACGTAAGCATGCACATTCGCAGCACACACCGTCGAACCCACAGAAAACAACTGATATCGATCCCTGCTTCGATTCAGTGTGAATTGTCCTCCCTGTCGGGCCATGTACAATCACATGGAATGCGGACGGTGGAAGGGGGAGGAGCGGAATCCATGCGAGAATCCATGCAAGTGTCTCCAAACAAAAATAGCAGCAACACTACTTCTAAGACTCTTCGCTCTCATCAGTTCGCGTGTCATTCAACACGTATATCCCGCACCCTCGAAATCCGTCCTCGTCGTCTTCGATCGCTCCCCCTTGGGAGTATATCTTCCTTACCTGCCACGTGTGTTTGGCACAGCCCCAAAAACAAAAGAAGAGAGGACAGATGGAAGGGGGAGGGAGAAGGACGCGCTATCGCTTGAGACTTCCTCGCGATTCGTGCATGATGCACGCTTCAGCAACCCGCCTGCTCGACCTAGTCGCCTGGGTACGCCTTCTGACCCGCCCGTTAGGGCCTATGTACCCGCCCGATCTGCCCGTCTGGTTCTGCCACTAGCTTTCTGCACTTAGCCTCCCTCCTGCTACTCTCTCTCGCGCTCCATCCTCCTCCCTCCTCCTTGTCCCTTCCTTCTATCCGTCATCTCTTCCCCTCCCTCCGGGTCTGCACGACATACAGGCTGCAGGCAAGAAAGATATAACCCCAAGCGGGGTACGATCGAACATGAACAGGGCGGGCGTCGAGGGTTTGGGGTATACGTCCTGACATGAACGAACTTTCTTAACATGTTTGCTGTTGTTGCTGCTATTGTTGATGTTGAGGTGGTTGTTGCTTTGTTGGTGTTGTAGTTGTTGTTGTGGGCGTTTCGTGGCCCCATAGGGGGCTCCACCGAAGGTCCCAGTGGCACCGCCCGCATGCGTCCGCCACCACCCAGCACAGCCCTTGTTCACTGCGTTTATTCCCACCCAGTACAGCGTTTCGTGGCTCCATAGGGAGCTCCACCGAAGGGCCCAGCGGTCGGAGGCGCCGGGCCTCATCGAGGCCGCGCCGCTCCTCCGCCCAGCTGATGTGCTGACCACTGCTGCTTTTGCCCGGCTGACGGCACTCGACGTGGGCATCGTGGCGCCGCACGCGGCCGGGGCTGGCGAGGACGCCGCCGCGACCTACGTGTGCAGCAAGGTCGGCAAGTACGCGCCGCACCTGCCGGCACTCGCTGCTGATGGGATCGCTTACCGGCCCGTCGTCTGGACGACGTGGGGCCGCCCTCACGAGGACGCCTCGGCGGCGGTCGCGTCCATGGCGGCCGCGGCAGGGAGGCGCCTGGGCGTGCCTCCGCACGCGCTCGCCGCGCGGGCCCGCACCGCCATCGGCGCTGCGATTTGGCGCCGAGCGGCGCGCATGGTCACAGCATGTGGCCCGCGGCTCGCTCGAAGGGACGTCGGCGCCCTCCTGCCGGGGGCCGGGGCCGCCCTCGCAGGTGTCGCCGACGAGGCCGCCTCCGACGTCGACCGACGCCGCCTCCGACGACGACCCCCTCGAGCCGCCTCCGGCGGCGCTCTCTGACTCCTCCTCGCCCGGCCCCTCCCGCCCGGCGTCGCCCGCCTGCCCTGCCCGCTTGTCCCCCGCCCTTGACTTAATTTTTTTGGGAGACGCAGCGGAGCCGGTAGGGGGAGTGGCGTTGGCGGAGGCGCCTGCCGGAGCGGCAGGCGAGGCGGGCGCGATGGCCAGCCCCCAGGCCGTGGACAGCGTCGCGGGCGCAGCGGGCGACGCCGCGGGCGTCGCCGAGCTCGTGACCGCGTTCGAGGCGCTGAGAGGCGCGGCCGGGCCCGTAGGGGCTGGGGGCGAGGCGGTGCCCGGTGGAGGCGGAGGCGATGCGGCGCCGGGCGGCGGGGCGGCCGGCGCTGGCGGGGCGATTGCTGGCTCGGAAGCCGCGGCGGAGGAGGCCGCTGCTGGTCGCGCGCCTACCCGCGGTCCGGCCTTGTTCACAGCCCTGCGGCTGGTGTACGGGCGCGGACCTGGACAGCGGCCGGCCTAGGCGGTGTGGGCGCAGGCGGGCCGGGGGCGGTGGCGCTGGCGGTGCGTGGCGGCGGGAGTTGTGGAGTGGAGAGGGGAGGAAAAAACACCCCCCCCCAAAAAGTGGCACCGCCCGCATGCGTCCGCCACCACCCAGCACAGCCCTTGCTCCCTGCGTTTCACCCACCCAGTACAGCGTTTCGTGGCTCCATAAAAAAGGGGGCTCCACGGAAGGTCCCACTGGCACCGCCCGCATGCGTCCGCCACCACCCAGCACGGCCCTTGCTCCCTGCGTTGCACCCTCCCAGTACAGCGTTCCGTGGCCTCATAGGGGGCTCCGCCGAACGTCCCAGTGGCACCGCCCGCATGCGTCCGCCACCACCCAACACGGCCCTTGTCCCCCTGCGTTGCACCCACCCAGTACAGCGCTTCGTGACCCCATAAGGGGGCTCCACCGAAGGTCCCAGTGGCACCGCCCGCATGCGTCCGCCACCATCCAGCACGGCCCTTGCTCTTTTCGCTGCACCCGCCCAGTATAGCGTTTCGTGGCCCCATAAAGGGGGCTCCACCGAAGGTCCCAGTGGCACCGCCCGCATGCGTCCGCCACCACCCAGCGCAGCCCTTGCTCCTTGCGTTGCACCCACCCAGTACAGCGCTTCGTGGCCACATCGGGGGCTCCACGGAAGGTCCCAGTGGCACCGCCCGCATGCGTCCGCCACCACCCAGCACAGCCCTTACTCCCTGCGTTTCACCCACCCAGTACAGCGTTTCGTTGCCCCATAGCCCGGATGCGTCCGCCACCGCCCAACACGGCCCTTGCTCCCTGCGTTGCACCCACCCAGTACAGCGTTTCGTGGCCCCATGGGAACGCCACCGAAGAAGATATTCACAATTGCGGTATTCACAATTGCATATGGTTGGGTCTTTTAGCCAGGCTAATTTGTTCAACGCTGGCGTTCCCGCCTCGGCGCCGCAAGCGGCCCCCTGCAAATAACGATGCTCCCGATTGATATTTCCCCCGCCTTCATTCAAGTCTCCCAGAGGCCCTGAGGCTTCCTCAGTCCCTTGTGAAGTTCCACCATGGAGAACGTATTTTGGTTGGACACCCTGCAGCATCAGCCCTTGCGTATCGCCTCGGCGCCAGATGCTTTTCCTTTGGAAAATTCGGCTCGCGATGGTTTTTTTCGGGGTTCTGCCTGAACAACAATAGCGCTCCCGCTCGATACTTCCTGCTTTTCTCTACTCGGGACCTGGGCTTTTGCTCGCCGCCAAAAGCAGGCTTTCCAACAAAACCGGCGCTCACGGCCCCCTGCAAACAGCCGCGCTTCCGCTCGAAATTTTCTCCCCGTTTCCTCGTTTTGTTCCCTCCTTTTCCTCATGTTCTCGAGGCCCAGAACGATCCCAGCCATGCCCCCCAAAACGCTCTGAGGCCTCCTTCAAGAGGCTGCGATGCCCTCCGCCTCAGGTGCGAAATGTTTCCCAGGGGCCCTCGGGCTTTCCGCCGGGTCTCTGGAGCTTCTCTGAGAAGGGGTTTTCCAAATGGCGCTGGAGGCTGTCCAAGGGGGCTCTGGGGGCTCTCCCAAGGGTTCTTGGGCCGTTCCCAGAGGTTTTAGGCCACTTGGGCGTGGTAGTCCCACCAGCCCTTTGGGCGTGAGTGGTTTAGAGAGCCCGCTCTGTTCTCAACCCCTCTTCTTCCTTTCGGGAGAGGGGTTTACCCCTGAGATTCGGTCTCTTTACAACCAGAACAACCACTTTACAACCAGATGGGTTACTTTACAACCAACATAGGATTGGAAAGTATGTTTTCCCATCGAGAACGTCCACTTTGCAACCAGAACGGCCCACTTTACAACCAGAACGGACCACTTTACAACCAGAACGGGCCACTTTACAACCAGAACGGACCACTTTACAACCAGAGTTTTTTTTTTTTGTTTTTTTTTATTTTGTTTTTTTTTTTTTTTTTTTTTTTTTTTTTTATTTTTTTTGTTTTTTTTTTTTTTTTTTTTTTTTTTTTTTTTTTTTTTTTTTTTTTTTTAGATTTTTTGTTTTTTTTTTTTTTTTTTTTTTTTTTCTTTTTTTTTTTTTTTTTTTTTTTTTTTTTTGTTTTTTTTTTTTAGAGGCCGTGCGTGTTTGGGCGTTCCGCAAAGTGCTTCAGAGCAAGTGGGCGCTCTGAAAAATGCCCCAGAGCAATTGGGCGCTCTGAAAAATGCTCCAGAGCAAGTGGGCGCTCTCAAAAGTGCTCCAGGGCGCGCGGACGCTCTGAAAAATGATCCAGAGCACGTGGGCGCTCTGGAGCCCGAGCGCCTGAACTCTCTGCGCAGGCCCCAGCGATGCCTCTGAACCCGGGCGCCTGAACGCCCCGCGCAGGCCCCAGCGATGCCTCTGAGCCCGAGGACTTGGACGCTCTGCGCAGGCCCCAGCGATGCCTCTGAGCCCGAGGACCTGGACGCTCTGCGCAGGCCCCAGCGATGCCTCTGAGCCCGAGCGCCTGGACGCTCTGAGCAGGCCCCAGCGATGCCTCTGAGCCCGAGCGCCTGGACGCTCTGAGCAGGCCCCAGCGATGCCTCTGAGCCCGAGCGCCTGGGCGCTCTGGCGCTCTGAGCCAGCAGACTAAGACAGGGCTTGCTAGCAGGGGCCAAGCGGCCTCAACAAGGGCCCCGTGCTCGCACGGGAATAAGGCGACAGCATACGTAGGAAGGCTCAGGGCGACGCGCTGCCGATTTTAGGGACCACTCACAGGAAGCGAGCCCAGTGGCCTCCACAAGGGCCCAGCGCTCCAGGGAACTAGGCCATTGGCACCGCGGGTCTCTTGGGCCACGTTGGCCCCTGAAGCCCCGCGGTGTTCTGCAAGGGGCTAAGTGCGCCCGCTCCAGTTGGCCCCCTG